GGCTGGGGTCTGTAGCTAGACCTTCCAGGGGCTTCTCCTTCACAGCCTTTACCACCTATCCCAACCCCCCAACTGTTACACTTAGTCTAACTTCAGGGAAGACTGGTCCATGCAGGCTACAGGGTTGTGTATAGTATTTGCAGTCGGGAGACCTCACACCTGTCTCTGCCATCCATTAGCAGCGAGGCTTTTGGCAAGTCAATTCACCTAAGACTCCATCTCCTCCTCTGTAAAACAGCAATGCTAATACCCCTCTTTCAGGGATGTTGTCATATTAAGGGGGGTAACCACTAACATAATAACATGTTGTTACTATAGTAATTACTATTGAGAACCACTGATTATTATGCCTTATCCCCTGAATCCATGGATGGTGCCCAGCTCTTTTGCATCAACTTTGTGCTTCCTCTCTTGACCTAATTTTTAAAAATCTCAGAGTTAGTCTGAAAGATCTTGAGTTAGTCAGCTGGACCAATGGTTCCCAAAACTGGCTGCACCCAGTGGAGGCCAAAGAATCTGTATTTTTAGGTAGCTTCCCTAGTGGTTTGGCTTTGTGCATGGATGGGTGTCTGAGTTACCCCTGGTCTAGACCCTCTTCTGCCTTCAGGTAAGACCTCCTTTTTGCTCTTCCAGGCAGGTGAAAACCTGTCCTGTGTTTACAGACTTTAACAAGTGGGACTCCACAGCCCTCCGGGGAGCCCCCCAGCATCTCATGTCCTTCACTGCTCCGTTTTTATCCTTTGTATTCTCTGCCTATTTCTCCCAAGATCTTGAATGGCTCATGATTCCATCCAGCCATTGTCTTTGTCTCCCCATCTGGTTGCTATCCCGTCCTCTCCTTTGGGAGGTAGGTTCCATCCTCTGTCTCTTCTGGTTATTCTCTGAGGCTAGAGTTTTGCTAGATGCTAACTCCGACTCTTTATTCCTTCCCCACACTTTCTCCCATCTCCAGTTTGAGTTTATTTTTCTTCCTGCCTAACTACTTCTAATATACTAAGTCAATAAACAGATTCTCTGTGGTTACATATGGCAAACAGCTGAAATTTACAGTTGAGAGTAAAATTTCTTCATTTGGGGGAAAAAACCCCATCATTTCACACATTTAGAAAGTGGTCATTCTGATCTCCTGGGCAAATAAAAGTGTTTTATAACCTTCCACAAAAGCTTATGCCTTGATTAAATTTTTATTATGAATTATTAATTAAACCAAGGAAATGCAGAGGACTAAACCTTTGCTTAAATTTGCTCCAGATTGAGACACAAACCAAAGGCGGCAAGAAACCCTGAAGGGGAAGTTTAATGATGAGCAACACATATAAAACTATCCGAACACTTTCATCTGCCAAAGCCTGCAAACACGTGCCCAGGCCTGAACAAGGCTGGCAATAGGCCCGGAAGAAACAGGACCTCCTCAGCGAAAACACTTTCATCTGCCAAAGGCTGCAAACCAGCCATGTAAATGCACCCACGTGCCCAGGCCTGAACAAGGCTGGCAATAGGCCCGGAAGAAACAGGACCTCCTCAGCGACTCTCTCCTGAGTTCTGTGTTTGGGTGTCATGGGGTATTGTGCCTGGAGACACATGGGCTTATTCACTCTGTGAGTGGCTGTGCTTAGGTGGGGAGTGGCAGGCAGCAGAGTAGAAAAGCAGCCTAGTGTCTTGGAAGCTGAGCCTGAGGTCGGGAGATCGGGAGAAGCGGGCCACTGCTCTTGGGATCGAGTGATTGATTCAGCCAGGGCCACCCAGTGCAGCTGTGCAGGCTGCCTGGAGGCGAGGGCAAGTGGGTACAGAGATCTGGCTCATGTGCTCCCTGCCATGCCTTGCTCCTGGCTGCAGGGCTGCATCCAGCACAAGGAAGGACCTTCTTCTGACTTGAAGAAGGTCAAATTGGTCCAGCCTTGCTTGGAGGTCGATAGTGTATGTGTGGGGTAAGCAGGAGGGATGGGTCTGCATTCTTCCAAAAAGGGTGTCTTTTTCTTAGAACACAGAGGGGTTGTCTGGGCAAGTGGCAGCCTAGAATTCAGCTACAGCTTCTGAGGATGCAAAAGTGAACAAGACCCTGCCTTCCAAGAGCTCACAGCAACCTGGGGAAGCAGACTGTGAGCATCGTAACACACTGTGACAAATGCTGTACAAGACCCAGAGTCAGGGAGGCTCTCTTGGGGATGACATCTAAATGAGCCAAAGTGGAAGGGCCTGGGGATGCGGGTGTGGAGAGTGGGGAGGCACTGAAGGCAAACACAACAGCACAAGCTTGGTAATGGAGGACGGAAGACTGTGATCCGTCTGATGGGAAGAAAGCTCTTGGAGAGGACATGAGGATCCTGTGGGGGCTCCCCGCCATATGTGCTTGCAGTTCAAGCCATTTTCATATATGAGCAGTTATTCAAATACAAACAAAGAGGGTAATGCCCATTGCTTTTCCCCATTTAAAACAATTTTTTTAATCTATCAATATATAATGTAGTTAATTTTTGTGTTCCTTTACTGATTCCTCTTCCCCCCTTCTCTCCCCCCATCCCATCCATCAACATCATATCTGTTCACTTGTCTTAACAAGATCAAGGAATTGTTGTGTCTTCTCCGCCCCCCACCGCCATTTGTTTGTATAGTTATTTATTTATTTATTTTAGCTCCCACAAATAAGTGAGAACATTTGGTATTTCTCTTTCTGGGCTTGACTTATTTCACTTAATATAATTTTTTCTAAGTCCTTCCATGTTGCTGTGAATGGTAGTATTTCATTCTTTTTTATAGCACAGTAGTATTCCATTGTGTAGATATACCACAGTTTCCTTGTCCATTCATCTGATGGTGGACATTTGGGCTGCTTCCAACTGTTGGCCAGAGGGCTTGTGCAGAATGCACGTTCCCAGCACAGTGCTCGGCTCCAGCACTAGTTTCATCCCCTTCTGCACTTCCTCTTGCCCATCCCTTTTCAATATGAAAACAGGGATAAAAGGGTAACGACCTGACCCTTTGGCAATGAGCAGCCCCCTGTGATTTTGTCTCCACTTCTGAGCTGGGGTGTGTTGAGGTTGTGCCCCAGCAAGAAGCTGGCTTCCCTAGATCAATTGCTCCAGGAGAGGAGAGAAGGGAGCTCTTCAACTGCCTTGGTAAGCAAAAGATTCTGTTTTCTGATTATCTTTATGGGTTCCCTGCCTCCCCTGTGGATATCCAGGCTCCTGGTTATGACCGAGAAGATTCTGCATGGAGACCATGTGACATTTATTTGCTCTTATTTATACTGAATTCAGCACTCAAGGAAAGTGGCACGTTGACAACACTGCTTCCTAGCATGACATCACATAAATAAGTTTGAAGATGCTGCTTAATACGAACCCTGTAAAGATAAGAGAAATGATAGAAAGAACTGAGGATGCTGTTGCCTTTCTAACATCTGCTGTGAATCATAGCCCAGGGGAAGATGGAAAACCGAGGCACCCAGGGACAATGCACCGGCACAGGGGTCAGGAGAAGGGCTTCCATGGGGGCCATATCTCACATTCCTCCCATCACTTTGGTTGGAGCCTGGGCAGAGAAGGAAGTGGAGGTCTGTGGGGCTGGTCTGAAGGCTGGGGTGAGGTGGTTGGCCTTTGCTGGCATTTAGTTTTGTAATCTAGTACACTGAGTAAACCCAGCACTGTGCTCACTCCCCTAATTAGCCAGCACCTAATAAATACCTGTCGTGAGGCCAGCACAGGGGAGCTCTGAAAGAAGCAGACGATTCTGCCACCACAGAGGGATTACCTCAACCCTCCAGGATGACTCTTTCCTAAAAAAGGCAGTTCTCTCTCCTTACCCCATGTACCCAAGGGGAAAATCAGGTGCCAGATTCCTAGTTTACTTTGAGTGTCTTGAGGAAGAAAAGGCTCTTGGAAAAACCTTGCTTTATTCCTTTCCTTTGAAAGTTCCTTCTGTGGAATACAGCTCAATTATGGATCCCCAAAAGGCCCCTGAAGGATTAAAAAGGAGAGAGAGACAGTGACAGGCCAGGGTTTTGGGGCAGTAGAAGGTAACTTTTGGTTGGTGTCCTGCTGAGCCATTTGCTTTCCTAACTGGAGCTACTGCTGCAGAGTCGAAGGATGAGGGTGGGGCTGGGGCTGAGGCTGGGGTCGCTCAGTATCTGACCCCAAGTGATCACGTGAGCAAAACTCCTGTCATCTCCAATCAGAGTATTTTGAAAGGGGAAGACTGCTGGTGGGAAGGGGAGAGAGGCGGAGGAGGAGTGAGCCGCAGGTGCTTCCCTTCTTTGTGACAGATGGCCCCTCAACCCAGGCGCAGTGCTCCACGGTCCTCCCAGCAGGCTGCTTTCTGAGATAGGGTCTCCTCTGCGCTTCTGAGCCAGCCTGGGAGAGCCAGTGCTAACAGTGGGGAGGGAGTTTGGGGATGGAGGGTTGTGGCCAGGGAGTGAGAGGTGTGTGCGGGAGAGAGAAAAGGGAACTGAGGAAGAACACGAGGGAGGGAGACGGTACCTCACTAAAACCTCTGGTCTCTTTAAAACCATAAAGGGGTCCGGCTGAATTTATTGATTCAGGTCCATAAATAGCTCAATAGGATCTTAGAGACCATTTAGCTCAAAGCCTTCATTTTAGAGTTGGGGAAACTGAGGTCCGGGGGAGTTTTAACTTGCTTTTGGTCACGTGGTGAGTGTGTGGCCCAGCAGGGACCAAGATCCTCCAGGTTGAGGTTCATGGTCTTACCTTTGCTGGCGAGGTTGCTGTTCCTTTTGCATGAGGTAGAGGAAGAGCCCATGAGGAAACACTGACCTCAGAGTTAGGCGACCTTAGCTTTGGGGTCTAGTTGCCCAGTCCCCCCATCTTCCTTGGCACCATCTTTCCCCAGGCTTTCCAGACCAGGGCAGAGTGCCACCTCTGCTCTCAGGGTGAACTGTCGGGGTTTGCAGAAGAGCGTGTTCTAGGGAGCAAGACCCATTCTGAGGCCTCTGCTAGAAGTGTTCTTCCCCTTCCTTCTTTTGGAGGTGGCGGTTACCAGGCAACATGACCCTTGAAGAGGAGATAAACTGCCTCAGATATGAAGGGTTTATCTTTGAGGTTATTGCAGATGTACCTGACTTCTTCATCTAGTTCTGCCCGGAACTTCTTTTGGAGGTGGCGGTTACCAGGCAACATGACCCTTGAAGAGGAGATAAACTGCCTCAGATAGGAAGGGTTTATCTTTGAGGTTATTGCAGATGTACCTGACTTCTTCATCTAGTTCTGCCCGGATCTGAACTGGTAGCCAGATAAACTGTTGGCTGCCAAATTTGTATTTATCAAGTCTAAACAATTGTCAGAAGGCAATTATCCCCTGGGAGGGCCGTGGCTCCAGATACGCAGAGCCCTGCAGTCTGGCTGCAGATTTTCTCCTCTTCTCCTGCTGTCCTAAATTTTAAAGGAGGTTTGATGTTCCAACACATTTGTTTTGGTGTTCTTTTGCCCATAGCCGAAAATAAAATCCAAAGGATTTTATAGGTGGATAAATCCTTTTTAAAGGCCCTTTTGTTATCACCATGGGGTTTGTGGGCACTAAAACTGGGTTTTAAGGGACCAATGAAAACTTTGAATCACAGTTTGCTGTATATGGAAAGGACCAAGTGACCATTTGGCACAGTCACTTCATGTTGTAGGTGAAGAAGCCACAGCACAGAGGGACTTGATGTCTTGTGAAGGAACATGCTGTTTAGAATTGGGCAGATGGGGGCTGGGAGCTTGGCATGGCCACTGACCTGCTGCCTAGCCTTAGGTGAACTCCTGGATCCTCTATTTCCCTACTGCATGGAGATAATAATCCGGACCTCACAGCGTTGTTGTGAGGGGTAAAATCATTTCCCCTGATCAAGGCCACACAGATAACTGGGGGCAGAGCCAGAACCCTAGTATCCTGGCTCCCCGATCTCTATTCTTTCCATTACACTGTGGAATTTTCTTCTCGGGAGGTCTTCGATTTACCATTGAATAAAAAGTAAAATTCTATTCAGTGTTTCACAGATGCAACACCTCCAGATGGTCTGAGGCTCATTTCTGCTCTGAAACTCATGTTTATATGATGACAGCATCTATATTTTTTTCTGGATGAATTAATAATCGACTTGCCATTGTATTTAGGAAAAGCCAGACATCACCTCATGGATGTCTCGTAGAAAGGGAGCCGTCATTTATTCCATTCATTATGGCAAATTTTCTGTTTAGATTTGGTGGCAGCAGGAAGAGAGGACTGGGGGACTTTTTGCCCGGCGGAAGGGAGTCCCTGATCCACACCCGGAAGCCCCCTGGATGACAGGCCCATCCCAGTGTTCCAGGCTGAGTCTGAGGTCCCGGGACTGGTTCCGGCCTGTCCTTGCCACGCTCCCCAGGGCGTTGTCTGCACTTCGGTCACTAGGTGGCGCCACAGGAACATCCTCGCGGCCCGAGGTGCGGTCGCAGACCGGGAGGACTCGCCTCGGCGCCGCGGAATTCTCCGGCTTTGCACACAGGGTCGGGGGTCCGGCTGGCCACCTCTCGCCACCCCGCGCTCCCATCAGAAGCACAGCCCCTCTCCGGGGAAGAGCTGGCGCTGTCCTGCCCGGCGATGCGATCCGTGCCCATTGGTGTTAGGCGTCTCCAGTTCAGCGTTTTCACCGCCGAAGGCTAAGCTTGTTTGCTCCCCCTCAGGCTCTGCCCCCGTCCCCGGGTTACTAGTGATTCATCTGCTTTGAGTGGCATCATCACACGGGGTTGGGGTGCTGAATATACCTGCTCTTCTGTTTTTAAAAGGCTGCAGACACGCAAGGGTATGCATGCATGATGGGCGCCTCGGTGTTGGCGGGAGGGAGTTTACGTGGCTGGCCCGTGTGTCACGATGCTGTTGGGCCAGGGGCGTCCCAGGCGCGGCGTGTCCCCTGCAGGCGGGCCGGGGTCCCCCTCCACTCTTCGGCCCACGTCATTTGCCGGCCTCGGAACCCGCAGAGATTCTCAATTGCTTCTCAAATGGCAAGAAAGTTTCCCCGCTTCAAAGTCGATGGCTGTCCTGTCACCTCCCCGACTGCATCACCATCTGCACATCGCCCACCTCCTCTGCCATGTCCACATGGCTCCTTGACCCCTTGGGTTCTCCGCTCGCTGCTCCCCAGCACCCTCCAAGGTCGCAGGTCCTTTCTCCGGGACTCCTCAGGGGCGCTGGTGTCGGCTGGATCCTGGGTCCCTCCCCACACCTAGGCTTCCTTCCACTGCCAGGTTCTGGAGGATCCGGAATTAAGCCTAGTGTGGCCCCCTTCCTCCCGTCAGCACACTGGGTAGCCTTTTCCTGTTTGCAGGGCCGGCAGGATTGAACTTGAGGTGAGAGCACGGACGGTTTCTTTTTCTTCCCCAGAGGCTGCCTTTTGACTAGTGAGTACGACGACGGCTGTGCCCACGGCTTATGCCTGTTACACCTCCTGGGAGGGCAGGCCCGGGAAGTTGGTGCAAATGAGCATAAAGGGCTGGCAGAGGAGAAAGGGAGAGGGAGGACCAGGAAGGGTTGGGAGAACAGGGGGACCCATGTTTGCTGTCCGTGGTCTCTGAATCCTGCCTTTGCTGTTTGAGAGCTCGACGACTGTGGCTAAGTGCCATGACTTCTTGAGCCTCAGTTTCCTGCTCTGTAAAATGGGAATACTACTACTTACCTCATAGAGTTAGTGCGAGTATTATGAACTCTTATGTATATAAAGTGCCCTCCCGACAAATAAAAAGGGCTCAGTAATGGTTGCTGTTGTCATTATCAAATCTAAGCCCCTGTTCTAGTGTCTCACCAAACTGATCTCACAGAAATTGAAAGGCACCTGCTTTTCCCACCTTCTTTGGGATTAGGAGAAACTTTCCCTGAGCTATTAGTGTTTTCCTTTGTTTTATAAACCTGTCCTCTCCATGACTGAAAGGAAGAGAAATGTAGCTGGCTTGTTTTCTTCTCCCAGGACTCTTGAAGAGGGATTCAGAATGTGGCCAGGCCACTGGGGATAATTGCTGTAATGCTAGGCTGTCAGCTTCCTCATTAGTACAATGGGGGTTTTCTATGGGCCCCTTTCTTTCAAGACATATTCCGAACACCAGATATTACTTCACCATCTTATGGGGATAATTGCTGTAATGCTAGGCTGTCAGCTTCCTCATTAGTACAATGGGGGTTTCTATGGGCCCCTTTCTTTCAAGACATATTCCGAACACCAGATATTACTTCACCATCTTACTGGAATGGCCTGCATGTGGCAGTAAGTCCATCTCATTGCTTTTGGTGAAAATCAGTGCAGTTTGTAAAGATTTCTCATTGTGAGACTGAGTAAATCATCACTTTGACTAAAGACCAAACCAGGTATTCCTTTGCCTCTAAATCCCTCTTGCTACTGAAAACATAAGAAAAGTCCTATCTAAAGTCCTGGTTTTGCTCTGTAGTGACCATCCATGTGCTATTAGAGAATGACTACTCTTGTTTCAAGAGTTTAAATGGTAACAGTATCATCACCTTTGAATAATCCTCTCTACCTTATTGATACCATGGGGTTGACAGTCACTCTGTAGATGAGGAAACTGGGACACATGAAAGGGAAACTCTGATCACCCTTCCATTACATTTCCAATCCTAATCCAGCACCACCCGTGGATGCTACAGGGACGTCTGAAGGTCTCACCAGCCTCTGCAATTGGTCACCATGATATTCCATGGACAGAACAAATGGTCTTAGAGTCCTGTTGGGATCCTTGCTGAGAGCAGGCAAACCTTTCTTCCAGCTTGGGGCTGTGAACTGCAGCTTGGAGGACTGCGACCATGAGCGTCAGACGCCTGGGTCCGCTGCTCTTGTCTCTGTGCTCCCGATCCTCTGGCCTCTGGTCTTTGGACCTCAGCAGAGAACTGAACTCTTTTGTTAATACGATATATGACTGATACAGCTAGCCATCCCCTAATGCGAATGACTCAGTTTATCAGTGCTGGGCTAAAGATGGCTCCTTCGCTTGCCAGCAGCCTTAAACAGTATTTCATTAAAACTGGCTTAATTATTTTGAGAAGACTGCCCAATTAAAAACTATACACTCCCTCTCTATCTGTTTCTACATAGAGCTGTATATATAATACATATTTGTAAGTGTGTATGTGTGTGTGTTTATATATAGGCTTAGCAATTTAATTACATGAGATAAGTTGTTTAAAAAATAACACCCAGGAGCTGGCCCTCTTTCTGTTGCTAGATTCAGAGTAGAGGCCATCCTGGGAGGGGATGGTGTTGGTGGCCTCTTAAGGACTCTGCAATGAATGTCCCAACTACACAGAGCCCTGCCCCATTTTCAAGAGACAGCAACTTTGGGAGAGGCTGATTCTGACATCTGCTGTTCTCTCAGGATGTCCCTTTCCCTTCCCAACAGTATTGAGATGCTTGGGCCGAGGAAAGTTGGGGCAAAGTGTCCTTGCCAAAGCTCAGGAGAGACATGGACTTGAGGCTTTTGTTTCTGGAGCTGCTTGTCTAGCTTTCCTAGTGAGCAAATATGTTCTCTTTAAAGAAACAAACAAACAAAGCAAAAACACCAATTCATCCGGATTTTATTCATTTGTTTTAAATACAAACAAAAGAAGAGTGGTTATTTCTGCACCAACTATTTCAGATGCAAGTCACTCAATCGCTCGGGGTGGTTGGATGGTGCTTGGCACCATAGGACCCACAGGGCTAGTTGCAACTGTTATTCGGTAAGGCTTTTTTCTTTCCAAAATTCCCAGTGTTCCTTTAAGGCCCATTTAGCTGCGGGTTTTGTTTATTCTCCCGGCAATCAGCATTTAAAATAAGACAAACAAGCATTTTTCCTGGTCTGTGAATCCCTGGTGGCCAGCCTCCACCTGCATACCTGAAGCCAACGTGTCCAATTGAATTTCTCTGTAACCCATAGCCCTTCAGAGACCTGCCCCCTCCATATACCGGGCTGGAAATAGAGAACTTAAGCAGGGCAAATGTAATTTTAAGAATTGCTAATGATGCTAGAAATCTGCAATGCAATTAGCATCATTGGATTTGGTGCTCCTCCGAAGGCACAAAACTCCTTGTCATACCACAGTGGCAGCAGCAGCAGCAGCAAGTACCTCCACATGTGCCCAGGCAGCCCTGGGTATGCTGGCAGCCACTTCTCACCAAGATGTGAGCAGTTGGTTAGGCTTCCTCTTTCTCTCTGAGACAGAAACTTGTCTCTTTTCTGGATTGCAGAGGGATGGATATTTTCCATTGGTTATGACCTTTGTGTCCAGTCCTCCAGTGGAGTAACCCTGTTTTCTAGGAAATTGAGACCCCACTTTGTGAACTCATTTTGTTCCCTGACATTTCAGCACCCCAGTTCAACCAGTTATCCCCCAATAATTCTGAACTCTAGTTATTCTGGTGCTGTTAATCCACACCTCTGCACTGGTGGGGGCCCTCCCACCACTACCCACCAGAGAATATACCCTCCTTTTCTCTCTCTCTCTCCTTCTTCTCTAATTTCCCTATTTTCTCCACTCTCCATGGCTCAGAGGTCATATGAAGAGTTAAAATAGGGATCCGAAGAGAGCCAGAGGGAGAGAGGGAGTGAGAAAGAAAAGAGAGAGAGAGAGAGAGAGAGAGAACATGAATTATTGGATTAAAACTAAACCTTCACTTTTTCATAGAAAAATCATTTTTGCTCTCTGGAAAAATAACATGAACCAGGCATGGAAACCATGTTAGCTGGCTAAGAGATTGCAAAATCTGGAAGATGATCTGGGTGAGTTGGTTGGATTTAGCAAAAGTTTGTACTCTGGGGATCCTCTTTCAAATACGGAGGCCCAAATCAGAAGCTTGTAGAGGGGAGCTATTCTTCCAAGATTCCAGATTTGTCAGTGAGACAACACGTTCTGGGGCAAATTGATTTCACCCTTGGGAAACTGGAGATTTTTCAAAGTTATGTCTGCAAAGCCAGCTAACGCAGTTCCCCATTAGTGCATTAAAGTGTGCCCTTATTAATTCAAACATAAAGGCAACAAAATAAGCTGTTAAATTTAAAATATAATACATATATAATGAGGAGAATGTGTGAAAGCCTTATTCAAATGAAAATACAGGAGTGTTTGAACTACTGAGGTATCTTTTGTATTGAATTATGAGCATATGTAATAGATTTAATTATTAATTTCCCCATTGTTCTATGCACACAGACAGGGTTCAAGGCACAGTCATTCTCTGGCTTTCATAGATCTAATTTGTATAATTATTGCCTGAATAAAAAATTGCTCCAATTCCTCGCTCTCTTTCTTTTTTTCCCCCCTTCTAAATACTATTTCAATGCTGCATTCCAAAAGGGGAACACCTGCCACTTCTTCAAAGTCAGCTGATCATTTGGGATGATGGACGGCGCGGCTGCCGATGACGTCCCCTTTCAAGTCTCTTTGTCTAAGTGAATTATCGTGCATCCTTTTAATTTTATTGAACAAATTACATTTGTCAAGGTCTATCTTTGTAAATAAATGATAACTAGAGACACATGGATGCGTATTTCTGCTGTTCAAGGGCTCTTGTTCCATTTCTGGAAGCCAGATGAACATGGAACAAAGGAGAAACTTTCCTCTAAAAGCAATTATCTTTCTGCATTCCCATCAGTATAATTATATTGCAGGGAATTTTAAGAAGCTGTAGAAGTAGAATTGAATGCTTAAAACTGTGTTTGCTGAATTGCTATGTGAAAGTTGAACAGGCTCTACTGCATCACACAAAATAGTCTAACTCTCTCCTGGCCACATTTCTATAAGTTTAGAATGTGCCTGAAGGACGGAGACAGTGTAGGGAGGGTCAAGGATGAGGGAGGCTATGTTTAGGGGTCCCTGTATGTCTTGAATGGAATATTTAATGACATTTTTGAAACCCGAGGGCTGTTAGCAAGGTGACTGAGTGTGTGTACGATAAAACTACCCATTTCCAGTGTATTTGGAAAGCTTCTGATTTGCAGATTGCTCTCTGCCTGGAACAGAAACCTACTAGCTTATTAACTAATCCATGAGTGGTGGTAGAATGAGGAGGGGGCAGTTTATGAAATGATAGCAGCAATTACATTGCCCCCAAAAGCAAGTGGGTTACAGAGATATTGAATGTGGTTTGTGTGGCTTTTGTGTCAATACTGCATGTCAACAAGGATAATTTCTTTATCATTGGCCCCCTGGAATCTAGTGAAGTAACTGCATTATCTTATCGCTGATGGCTCAACAATAGTCTCATTCCTTCCCCTTCCTAATTTTTAACAACCCCCCTGATGGACATTCAGGGAGGAAAAAAGCACCAGTGAGAAGTGACAATAGAGAATGGCAGATCAT